TCCGACACTTTCCAGCTCATCGCCCCGCCACCGCACTTTGAGGGTTTCAATGGCCACTTCTCGGAACCGTTAAGACAGTCGGTCAGTGGTCAGTGGTCCGATAGCCACCAGCACTTCCGCCCACCGGGCGATAGACTTCAAAACCCCGCCCGGGGCCATTGGCAAAGGAAAGCGAGTGGCTTTCCCCGCCCACAGCACAGCCGCTCTTGAGCTCGTACAATAATCTTGATTTCGTGGTCAATTGAATTCTTAACTTCTCAAAGCCCGACACACAACAGCCAAGGATATCTCGAGGGCGTGTCCCGGCCATGGATGACAGTGCAAAGGAGCCGGAGCTGGAGCTGAAATGCTGGGAACTGGGATGCTGGGGATGCTGGGGCTGCTGGACGCTTGAGTTGAGCAGTCGGTTACCAAATTGCGATTACTCAACAACAGAAGAGGCGGCGGCGTCGGCTGCTGACTGACCAGAAACCGATTTGGCCGTTGCCTACTTATTGGCCATTGATTTCTGAAAAATGGGCCAGCCAAGGAGGAGGCCAATTTGTGGGCCAATTTAATGCGTTATGATCTTTATGAGGGGAGCGGTAGCTCCTTAGACCCTGCCTGCTGCTGTCGATTACTTTTTGAGCCTCTCCACCGAGCCGAAACCGAATCATTTGCCATAACACTTTGCCAATGCCAGCTCAGCACCACTCTCCGGTGTCCTTTCCCCCGCTGCTGGTGTTTGGTAGTAGTTTTTGTTTCGTGTTCGAACATCTTTATGGGTAATTAAAACTTTTGCCCATTTTTGCCTGAAAGTTGGTTTTTGTTTTGCCCAATTCCAATTCCCCCCCTTTCCGAACAAGGGTTTTACCCCCCACATTCGCATTCTACCACAGCTTCCTGTGTTCTAGTCAAATTTATTGCCGTTCAATAATACCAATTTTTGGCCTTTCTTTTGCCGGAGATGCCAACAGATGTGTTGGCAAACTATTTCGCCCAGAATAGTTTTCGGAGCACGTTTGTGTTCACACTCGAGTGTTCCACATTATTGAAATTGAAGCGCGGTAATGTGTCTGCAATTTTTGGTCCCGACTTCCCGTTCCGCACAACTTTTGGCATTCCGCATTTGGCAAATTATTTTCGCCAGCCAATGCTCCGCGCTTATCTCGGTAAGTTTCGGGTTATTTGTGGCCCAAACTTCGGGTTCCGCCAACTGCAATTTCTCCACATCGATAAGAAGTGCAAATAATGAGAAGAAACAGGAATAGAGAAGGATAAGACTAAGGAAGTAAGTAACTAGAGAAAGTCAGCGCCCAACATTGTAATGTCGAAACTGGGCTTATTATAATGCAACTTTATTCTAAATATAACCCCTTAAATATCTGATTAACTTGAAGCTGGAAATGAAATTCTTCATATCTCAAAGTATAAATACCTAAAGTTTAAATCTTTTCAGCTCACAAGAAGGCGAATCTCAAGCCCTTGGATGAACTCATTGTTGTACTAAGCAGGCGATTTCCAAGCAATCGTAGCCGACTCTTAACCCTACCCATTAGATGTTGGCCCCGCTGGGAAGCAGCTTTCCTGCATTATCTCTTGGGGGAAGTTGCCCAACTGGAGCAGTCGGCCTATAGCAAATTTTCGAGTATTAACGCATCGTGGGGAAACTTCCGCTTGTTTGCCAAGCGGCTTAGAAGACGCACAAGAAAACACTCGCCCTCATCACACTTCCCCACATCCGCCAAGACAAATTGCAGATTGGTAGACTCCAACATCACTCGCTCGGGCCCTTCTCCGTTGTCGATTCCCCTTCGGGGCGCGTGGAACAAAGAAAAATCCATATTTTATTTTGATTATTTTCCGGCGCCTCGGCAGGTGTCGATTTCGTGTGATTTTTCTTTTGGTTAAAATTAAATTTAGCCCGGTACGAGGGACTCTTTCCCCAAATCAGCGTCAATCAATTTTGGTCGCTTTCGTCAGACAAAAACAAGCAGGCCTTGTCCTCGGCTTCGGCCTCCTTCGCACAGAAACCTCCGCCTTTTGTAATGGGAAAAATTATTGAATTTGTCAACGACTGCCGCAGGCTCTGGGTCCAAAAATTAGGTGGGTAGGATGGCTTTAAGCTCACCGGGACCCAGAATTAAAGAGCTGCGAGATTTATGCGACTGTTGTAGGTGTCAGGCAAACAAAATTATGTTTGGAAACGATTTTCCACCTTTGCCGTCATACATCATCGGGGCTACTACTACCCCTGCGACAATGGCAACAAGAGCAGCGGAAACAACCCTCCAACGTTAACAAATTTCTTTGCGACGTTTTTAAATTTTTTTCTTTTTTTTATTTCTGTGTTGATGGCGGTGGGAGGGGAAGGAAAGCGGCTAATGTAAATCGCATGTGTGTGTGTATGACCTACGCCTTATTTAGTGAGGCGTCCCAAGCCCCAGAGCCAAGTGATTTGTTGACAAAGAAATTTTTTAATAATTCACCGAGCCGGGAGTCGGGCCATACGGGAGAGGAAATCTCATTCAGCATAAGTGATGATGTAATTTTCGCTAAAAATTGAAAAAATCTCCATGCAGGCGAGAGCGATTGGGGTCGGTGGAGCGCCGGTAACCACTCACGTAAAATATGTTGCAACAATATGCTGCTGGCTGGAGTGTGTGCCTCTGACGATGATGAATGTGGCACGCATGCGTTGCACTGATTCCACTGACGGACTGGCTGACAATCCTGTCACGGCGTCATATGGATAATAAGACCCTTCAAAGGTCCTCGCAGCCAGTTTATCATTAAGCAAGGAAGTTGGAGTTCAAGTTTATGATATAGAGTACAGCCAGGATCGCCAGGTAGCACTTGGAATATGGCTTAGCCGAAGGAAACTAGGAGACTAAGTAAGAAACAGCTTTTACTATTTAAAAGATCATACATTGCTTTTAGTATAAATGTTTGGTAAGCATGGAAAATTCTACATTATTTATTTTATAAACTTCAAACAAGAGTCACTACTCCTTAAAAGACCAACTTATTGAAGGTCCCATCTCCGGTTCATTTACTGGAACTCAATAAAACAGGCATTGCAGGCAAGTGAACCCTGTAATGGGCATCCATTACAAGACCTGCAGTGGTCAGGTCCAACGACCTCCCCAGAAACTCACTCATGACTCAATGTCCTCCTCAGGGGAGACGCAATTCCTTCCCCACAAAATGATAGTCGGAAGCTGGACAACTTTTAATGCCGGCTGTCGATGGTCATGTGCATAGCTCATTAGTTTTTGCCTAATTTGAAAGGCAGGCGCTCGGTTCGGCTTGGCTTGGCTCCGTTCCTCGCCCTCCTTGGCCTAATGGAATTCAATCAATTTCCATTTATTTCGATAGCTAAAGTCGCACCACCACCGAGCAAGTCGGGGGTCCTGGAGCGGGAGCTGAAAAATTTCTTAATTATCCTGACGTGACGCTTGTGGGCGGCTCGGTTGACAAGCTTTTTAGCTCCCGCCGCTATTCACTCCCTTGTCAATTTTGTGGGCAGTCTGTTTTCTTAATGTTTGTGGACAAAGCAAGACAAATGGGTCTTGATACTGAATTACTAAGGAAAATTGTCGAGGAAAATGATTTGAACGAGAGAAAAAGGCAGCAAGGAACAGCAGTTGAAAATCCTGCATTTTCTTTTTCGTCATAAACTTAAAAATGTTTCTTGAAACTAAATTGATTGACAATAATTCCCGTTGAAAACAATATGCCACAAATGTCAATACAACAATAAAAGGGACCAAAAGAGAAAATCCCCGAAACAATCTTAGCCAGAGGAGCCAAAGAGGCAAATATGGAAGAAAATGATGAAAAGCTTATAATCTGTTTATCAACGGGTTGCAGCCCTTTTTTTCAACAAAGAAAAGAGGGGCAGGCGCAGGAGTTCCAAGAAAAATAAAATGAAAATGCTAAACAAAAGGGATGTGTAAATTTGATTTGCATTTTCTAAAAAAATATATATATATGGAGAAGTAATTGAATTGTTAGTAGGTTTTAGGTTATATTACCCCTTTGTTATTTTGCTTTATTGTTAAGCCAAATACATATGTATATATACGCCTCTACAAAATTCTCTTGGCCTTTCTGTATTTTTTCCTCTACTGTACAGGTTTTAAATACTCTTTGAAATTGGTTCAACGGGCTTATATTATTTCTGTAAAAATGCTAACCGAATTTTAAAATTTTATAAAAACTTTATCAAGCTAAAAATAAATAAAATACTTCCTGTCAGCGCTGGGCATTTTATGCCAACTGAAGATTATGCAAGACCCATTTATACTTGGGCTTAAAAAAAACTGCATACTGCCCTTGGCCCGGCAGAGTCCTTGTAAGGCAAAGGGAAGTCAACGAAATCTGGGAGTTAAATCTGAATGGGGCGACACACAGAAACGAGAGCAGCAGGAGCAGCCAAAGGGGAAACCGACCAAGAAACCAAAAAAGATACCGCAACCGAGAGATGCAGTAGTGGCAACTGTGAGCCTCAATTATAATGAGAAAAGCAAACGAATTGGAAATAATTTTCAATTCACTTGTTTCCCACCTACTTTCGTTGGCCGTACGGGCCGCGATCTCCAAATGTTTATGGACCCTTTGTTTCATTATTTATTTGACTCGCAAAGCTTTGCTTGCATTCCGGCATCCAAGGCGAAATCAGAAACTGAAACCGAATCGAAGGCAGCCCCTGGGTCAGTTGAGGGTGCCTGCAGATTGATAAAGCTGTTAATGTTTTTAGGAACAGAGGAGGGATCCCATGTGTCCGTAGGAGGGTCTTGTTTGCAGACGACAAGCCAAGCTCCTGCGGCCAAGTAATGAATTATTTATGTAAGCCCAGAGGACAGCGAACTGCACAACTGAATGAATGTGTAAAGGCAGAAACTAATTGGTATGGACTTCCTACAGGAACCCGGGACCTTTCGGTTTTAACGCGTCAGATCTTTAAATAAAACAAAATGGAATACGGTATAATTAGATGGTAGACCAAATATAATAATTTAAGTGTGTTTATAAGGAACAACATATCCGCCAGCACGCTTGGCGGTGTGCTCAATCTCGGCGAGATTTGGCCCTTGGCTGCGCTTGCCAAACGGCTGAGTATCTGGGTCCATTTGGAGTTTGTGGATTCTTGGGTCCACCTGGAACTGCTTGATGTGTCGCTCAACGGGCGGTGGAAAAGGATATGGCTCTTCACTGATCTGGCGTTTGATGGGCCGCGGAGGAGAATTTGGCTCCTGACAGCGCTTGCCAGCCGGCTGGGTCCCTAGGTCTATCTTGTTGGTTGGTCCACTGTTAGTAGCATCCTTAGGCGATTTATGGTCTTTGGCAAACTGGACCGTGATGGGCCGCGTAGCTTCTTTAAGGACGTAATTGTTCAGGGCGTTTAGGGCCACCTCAGCGGCCATGCGCTGATCGAAGCGCACGAATCCTGATCCCCGCGGCTTCCCAGTCGGCCAGCGCAAGACCCTCACCTCAATGATGGTTCCGTAGCGTCCGAACAGCTCTGTCAGCTTGCTCTCATCGATGTCGGGTGGCAGGTACGTCACATGCAAGTTGGCGTTAACAATGTCCTGGCTCCGGGGCCTGGCAAAGGCCACCTTAAGAGACTTTCCACGGACCTCGTGTCCATTGCACATAATCTGCGCAATTCTGGCGGCGTTTGTGTTTTTAAACACTACAAACCCGTATCCGAGACTTAATCCCGAATGCCTATGTCGGATTATCTTGTGATCTACGACTTCCCCAAACTTGGAGAAAATATTGAGAAGCTCGTTCTCCGTCATGTCGGTCGGCAAGTAATTAATAATGAGGTTAGTCTGGTTAGCTTCAGACACGGACACAAGCTCGCCATCGTTCTTTTTCGAGGTATCAGCTTTTGAAACCAGCCCGGATTTGTTGTCGAAGGTTTTCGGATATTCCATGTTGATGGTGCACGATTTCGCTTTAAAATAAAAATAAAACAAGCAATGAAATAAATTTAAAATTAAGAAGAAATTAAAAAGAGCACCAGGCGACGTACAGGTTGGAACAGCAAAAGAAAAAGGAAATCAAATGTACGTTCCCAAAGCTTTTTGGAAAGACACGTGTAGAGTAGTGACTCCGGGGTTAATCGATATCTGCATTGCAAACATGAACGAAATATCGCGTCATACGAGTTCTCTTCTAGTCCTACCCAACACTTTTGTTAGTGTTTAGAGGTTATATTTATCTTTTCCTATTTTGAGGGTATTTTGACATAAAAATACATTTCCAAATAAAATAATTAGGGTCAGGTGCGCCGCACGCAATTAAAACTTTAGAAAATTATACTTTTCCCGTTGTTAAAAAAATACTATAACTTAATTTTACTAACTCTAGTCTTTTGGACAATGGGAGACCTAAATTTAACGATTTACCTCTAAAGCACTTTTCAAAATGCTCTTTATATATATTCCAAGGTATTATCGCAGCTTGTTGGATTTTTGGCTTCATATGCCGCGGAGGAGGAATTGGCTCCTGACTGCGCTTGGCAGCCGGCTGAGTCTCAGGGTCTATCTGGTGGTGGGTTAGCCCACTGTTAGTTGTATCGTCGTTGGGACTGAAACATACCCGCTCATACTCTGGCCATTTAGGGCCTTTGGCAATCTGGACCGTGATAGGCCGCAAATCATCTTTAAGGACGTAATTGTTCAGGGCCTTTATGGCCACCTCAGCGGCCATGCGCTGATCGAAGCGCACGAATCCTACACCCCGCGACTTCCCAGTGAACGGGTAGCGCAAGATCTTCACCTCAATGATGGTTCCGTAGCGTCCGAACAGCTCGGCGAGCTTGCTCTCATCGATGTCGGGTGGCAGGTACGCCACATACAAGTTGGAGTTTACAGTGTCCTGGCTCCGGGGCCTGGCAAAGGCCACCTTAAGAGACTTGCCACGGACCTCGTGTCCATTGCACATAACCTGCGCAATCCTTGCGGCATTTGTCGTTTTAAACATTACGAACCCGTATCCGAGACTTAATCCCGAATGCCTATGCCGGATTATCTTGTGCTCTACGACTTCCCCAATCTTGGAAAAAATATCGAGCAGCTCGTTCTCCGTCATGTCGGTCGGTAAGTAATTAATAATGAGGTTAGTCTGGCCAGCGTCGTCGTGGTCGCCATCGTTCTTTTTCAAGGAATCAGCTTTTGAAACCAGCCCAGATTTGTTGATGCAGGTTTTCGAATTATCCATGTTGATGGTGCACGATCTCGCTTTAATAGAATAAATAAGCAACGAAATTAATAAAATAAAATATGAGAAGGAATTAAATAGTGCACCATGCGACGTACAGGTTGGAACAGCAAAGTTAGTAGTCGAAGTTAATCGATATATGCATTGCAAACTTGAACGAAATATCGCGTCATACGAGTTTTCTTCTAGCCCTATCCAACACTTTTGTTAGTGTTTAGCGGCTATCATATTTTTCCTTTCCGGATTTTGGTGAACCTATAGACTGACAAAACTAACCGATTTTACACTAAAAATACTCTTAATATATATTCGAAGGTATTAAGGTATTTAATATAATAGGAACTTGGCCAGTTTCCCATTTTGCGACGTAAATTAAATAAATTTCTTTGGCTGCCATCGCTGATTTGGCTTAAAAGTTGGCGTGCCAAGACAAAATGAAACCCTTTACGTGCCCAAGGTGCAAAAGTAACTGAAAAGTTTTCCAGCTGTTTATTTATTTGTTTGCTGATTATGGAATTCCAGCGCTGAAGGTGGGATAACTGCATTGGGGAATGTGTAAATTGGGCAGGTGCAAATTAAATTGGTCGCTGTCCTGGACCCGTACCTATTGATTATACTTTTGGGGTGATCCCCAATCGAATAGCCCCCGGAGGAGGCCAAAGTAAACTTGTTCATTATTTTTCTCTTTTTGTTTTATTCAGCCTCATATTAATTAATTTCCATTTCCGTTTTGTTATCTTGGCTACGCCGATTTTTACCTTCATGCTGACTAGACAATTAATCAAGTTTAATTACTCAAACGTTGCGGGAGAAGGACGGCGGAGCTCGGCGCACCCACCAGGTCCTTATCCGCCGCCAGTCGAGGAGCGGACCCCTCGGGGACCGGGACCGATGTGGTGGGCATCTGCATTAATCACTGGAATATGCTTACATTTCTCAGCGCCATGTGTGGGGGATGGGGAGCGGACCAGAAGTGGGCAGGATTCAGATAAAACTCGCCATTAAAAGACGCCTCACGTAAACAATACATCTGGACGAGGTGGGATCGTTTACATATTTTTACTGCGAATAATGGTTCTTTCTTGGGATATATTTTGATGATTAAAAACGCGACTTAGTGCATACAGGGGGCTTTTGGGATTAATGATTAAGTGATTGAAGACATCGGTTTAATATTCCTTTTACCTTTTAAGGTTTCGATTTCGAGTTACAATCGAATTCTAGATGAATTGAGGTTTTCCCTTAATAAACAAAGAAACCAAGAGCCATTAAAAGTAATCTCCCCTGTATATTTCAAATCTAGGCCTCTTCAGATGTCTATTGAAATAAAAAATTGTTTTTTATTAAGGATTTATAAATTTTTGAACATGTGTATGGTGTGACGCCATAAAAAGTTAAAAAAAAAACAAGAAAGAAAGCTTTCTTTGGCCAGCCAAAGTTTGTATACCCTTGCAGGTAACAATTAAAATATATCATAACTAAGCCAAAAATACATTAATTTCGATTCGGAAAGCAGTTTTGTGTTAGTTTTTATTAATTTAAAAAAACTGCGTACCAAATTTAAAATTTTAAGAAATCAAAATTTTTGGCCATTTTTGCTAATTTTAATGATGTTACCCCTTATAAAATTTTGCGAAAATGGCCAAAAAATCGATTTCTTCCGGACATGTCTAGAAAGATTCCTCTGTTGATGCTGATCAAGAATATATATGGTTTATGGGGTCGGAAATGATTCCTTGACTTAGAAAAATATTATTTTGTATTATAAAATCTAATTTTTTATAAAAAAAAACTTCTTGATTTTTTCAATAAATTTTTAAAATTAAAAATATCATAACTCGGCCAAAAGAGCATTAATTTTAAATCGGAAAACTGTTCTGTGCAAGATTTTCTACAGTTAATAAATCTGTATACTTCATTTAAAAATTTTTAAAATTCAATTTTTTATCAAAATCAAAAATTTTAATGATGTAACCCCTTATAAAATTTTGCAAAAATGGCCAAAAAATCGATTTCTTCCTGACATATCTAGAAAGATTCCCCTGTTGATGCTGATCAAGAATATATATGGTTTATAGGGTCGGAAACGTCTCCTTCACTGCGTTGCAAACTTCTGACTGAAATTATAATACCCTGCAAGGGTATAAAAATAATAACGATTTTTTTATCAGATTGCTATGATAACACAGTTTTAACGTTTTTATAGATAAACCCTTCAACATAATGGCGACATCTGGTGGGGAAACTAAGCAAACATGTATTAATTTTTTTTACACTGTGTACATGTAGATAAAATAACTGTTATACAAGTTATAATTTTGAAAATAAAACTCATAAATTAAGAGTTATTTTCTTTTATATAGAAAAAATTGAATGTAATGCTTATTATTCAACTTTACCTGTTAATTTTAATTTTTAAAAAATAATTTGAAATTTAATTTTATTCTCAAATTTTAAATCCTTCAAAAATTATGGTATACGTACATTTTTCAACTTTCCAGATCAATTTTTTGGTAGTAAATCGATCCCTGATCTATAGTCAAAGTTCGAGTTTAAGCAAAAAATATTGTTTAGTTAAATTAGGGACACAAAATAATTATTTTCACGTAATAAAAATGTTTATTCATCGGTTTTTATGTATGCATGTATGCCTGTTCAACGGGGTTGGTTAACAAAGGGCTTCGTGTCGAAGTTACTAATGGTAGAAATGTTAAACATATCTTGAAGGATCACACATTAAATACGCAAGTTGTGCCGAGGGAATCACTATCCCACTGATCGATTACTATTTGAACATCCATTTCCTAATAGCTAAGCCTCAAGTCTACAGAATGCTACGATATTCGTCTAGGATTAGACTTCCTTCGTCTCGATAATCTCGAACTGCAGGTTGTACTGCTGATCGAAGCCGATCAGGCAATCAGACATCAGATACAGCGTGAGCTGCAGGCGTCCACGCCGCGGTGTGGCCTGGAAGGAGATGCGATTGGAGGAGCGCTGGCCCCGAACGGTGACCCGCTTCATGGCGAACAGCTCGTCGTTGGCCTGGGAGCCCAGGGTCAGGAACCAGGCCTCGTTCTTGGGCTTTGGATACTTGGGACAGTGCACCGTGTAGCCCCGCCCGCCAGCTCGCTTCTGTGCTTGGGCATTGAGTCGCTGCATGTCCACAGCCAGGACGTAGTCCTCGTTGGCATGCAGGGGCATCCAGTAGCCCTTGGTGTCGGCGGCAAGTGAGAGCGGCCGCTTGGCGTACTCCTCCTCCAAGTAGCGCCCTTCCACTGAGATTTGCAGGGCAATCTCGGGCATGTCTTGAATGACCTGCAAATACACAGAATACAGAATCCAGAATACCTTTGGAGCCTCCTAGTGCTTACCTTGTACATCTGCTCGATCTCCTGCTCCTCGAAGGCATCCCTCAGAGGCCTAGCCAGCACCTCGTACTCCCTGCTGCACAGCTCCCTCAGCACGGGCAGCGTCAAGTAGTCGTGATCGTCGTGCGGTATGTCCAGGAACACATCGAGATTGTCCTCGTTTACACCTGGCAGTGTTAGGAATTCGCTGGCGTCGAACCAGCGTGCCTGAATCACGCACTGCATCAGCTGCTGCACAACCAAAGTGGTCGACAGCCAGCCCCGTTCCGCCGTGTAGTCCACCATAGCCTGCATCACGCGCGTGGCGTTGTCCAGGGCCGACTTGGTGTCCGTCAGGTAATCCGAGTTGGGCAACGACTGTCGGGAGAAGTGAGCCTGGAGGAGAAGGAATGTCTTGGTGTACGGCGAGTCCCAGGAGGCGGACGGGGGCCTGTAGCGACTCGTGTCGGCCATCTGCTCGTTGTACTTGTCTTCGTTGTGCCGAACTGGTTGCTGGTCGAATTCGTAGGAATCGGCGATGGCCAGGAGAACCTCCTTGGTGCCCATGCCTGACTGCAGATCCTCCAGGAAGTGCTTCATTGTGCGGTACGACAGGTAGTAGTAGGAACTGATGCGTCCCAAGAAGGTCGGCACCAGGCATCCGTCGCGCTCCACCAAGCAGGCGGCTCCAGAGAGTTCGTAGATCACGCGGTCCACCAGATTGGACATGAATGCATTCACATTCTCCGGCTCGACACCCTGCAGCTGGTAGTACGAGGGATTCCTAAGGAGACGCCTGAAGAAGTACGTCCATGTGAGGTAGTCCAGGGCCGCCTGCTTGGTCTGAACCGTTCCAGCCACGATCTCGGCGTTAATGTGCTCCGGCAAAACGCCCAGCAGGCTGGACTCCACTGGGAACGGGTCGTACAGGAACTTCTTGTAGAAGTTCTTCTTTTCGTCGTGCACCAGAACGACGGCCACTCCCTCGTTGTCAAACTGCGGCCGTCCAGCCCGGCCCATCATCTGCAGCACGTCCGTAATGGGCATATCCACGTACTTCTTCACCTTGCCATCGAAGTACTCGGTGCCCTTGATCACCACCAGGTGGGCGGGCAGGTTAACGCCCCATGCCAGCGTGGCGGTGGCCACCAGCACCTGGATCTTCCGGTTGAGGAAGAGCTCCTCCACGCACTTGCGATCCTGCTCCTGCAGACCGGCGTGATGCAGTCCAATGCCAAAGGCCAGGCAGAACTTCAGGTTCTGGTCGCGAATGTTCTGCAGGATCAGCTCCATCTCGCGCTCGGCGATGTGCAGGAACTGCTTGGGATTGGAATCGCCGGCCACAAAGGTGATCAGGTCCAGGGCTGTGAGGCGAGTCTGGCGACGCGAGGAGACAAACACGATGGTTGGCTCGCAGGGGGAGTAGGTTCGGATGGCCTGGAACGTGGGTCGGTTCATGGTGGCCATACGCGGGCAGTAGTGTTTGCCGGGGAACCCGTTGATGTGCACCTGCAGCGGTACCGGGCGCACTGAGGGCTTGAAGTTGTACAGACCCATCTTGGTGATGCCCAGCCAGTTGGCCAGATCCTGGGCATTTGCCAGGGCAGTGGAAAGTCCCACGATGCGGATGGCCCGGCCCGTGTGCGAGCGGATGAAGTTTGTGCGCGAGACAATCACCTCGATGACCGGACCTCGATCCTCGCCCAGCAGGTGGATCTCGTCGATGACTATGAGGGAGACGTGCTGCACGTACTCGCGCGTTTGCCAAGAGCGACTGATGCCATCCCACTTCTCCGGCGTGGTCACAATCAACTGGGACTCACGTATGGCCTGGATGTCGGGCGTGACATCGCCCGTGAGCTCAACCACCTTGAGTCCCAGGGCGGACCGCTGGAAGCGCTGCTCCCAGTCCGATATCCGCTCCTTCACCAGCGCCTTGAGCGGCGCTATGTACACCACCTTGCACTTGGGGTTCTGGTTGAGGGCCCGGAAAATGGCTATTTCGGCCACGATGGTCTTGCCACTGCCAGTGGGCGCTCCCAGGAGCACGTTGTTGTCCGTGTGGTAGAGGCAGTGGAATATCTGCGTCTGGATGGGGTTGAAGTGGGTGAAGCTGTACATGGACTCGTAGAGGACGTTCTTCAGGCAGCTGACCGGCAGCGGGCGCAGGGGCAGCAGCTCCGTCAGCGGCGGATGGTGCTCCGGCAGCACCAGATGTTGGAAGGACAATGGAATGCAGGTGGTGCTGCCCAGCCAGCTGTCGCTGCTCACACGGATGTAATACTGCGGCGGCAGGGGCTCCTTCAGCGGAATGGTCATCACCAGTTGTTGCGACTGGCCACTGAACACCGTCTTGCGGGTCACCTGGAACAGCTCCGAGTGGTATATGTAGTTGGACTCTGGATCCTCGATCCACAGCCAGAAGCTCTGGCACGTCTTTCCGTGCACACGATCGTTCCACGTGAAGCTGGGCCAGATGTCCACCTTGATGCGCAGTACGGTTCGCGTGATTGGCTGCAGACTCGCCTCCACCTCCAGCATGGGCAGCTCCTGGGCAGAGCGGATCACCAGCTCGGCATAGCGATCGCTGCGCAGCCACTCCTTCAGCTCGCGCTGCTCCATGTCCCTCAGCCGGTAGACACTGAGGCCGCGTCGCTCTAGCTTCTCAATGGTCTCGGCATTGATGGCGGGAAACTGGCGCAGGTCGCTGTCCAGATCCCACTGCCGCCGCTCGAACATCTTGCAGAGCTGCAGCATGCGTCCCGATAAAACGGCATTGTTCTGACGCAGGACAATGGAGAACAGAGCTCGCGCGATGCGTCCGATATTGGTGGTGATGTAGGACATGTCGGAGCTGAGCGAGAAGGACTTGACGTAGCCATTGGAAAGGTATGTTTGAATAAGGATGTTAACCTGGCCAGAAAAATATATTTTTGTGTTAAGTAAAAGTGGAAAAATGTGGGTAAGACAGCTTACCTTTCCGCAGATATTCTCACTGCCCCCGAATGGCTTTATCTTGCAGTAGTAGCTCCTCAGATCGTCCAGTTCCTCCATCTCATCGTCGCGCACCTTGAGCTGCTGGAACTCCTGGGCCTGCGAAATCATGGCCAAGATCTCCGCCTCGTTCATAAAGGGCTTCATCAGCTCGTTAAAGGTCTCCACTGTGTCGTATTTGATGTAGAAATGCGAGGCCGTCCTTCCCAGGTCAGTGATATTCATGTCCATGGTGCGCTGGTTGAAGCGCATCATCCGGGCCTTGTCCAGACTCATCGAGGCATTCATAATGAGGGCTCGCCGGCGTGCCTCCAGCGTGGGATCCTTCTGCAGCTCCGCATATTCGATGCCGTAGACATGGGGATTGATGCGCATCCGAACAAAGAGGTATCTGTAAGGGGAACCGTAATCCACTGGAAATTCTTCGCATGCAAGCGACTTACGTGTAACTCAGCCACTCGATGGCTTCCTCCACATTCGAAATGGTGCCCAGACCAATCTCCGCATTGAGATTGTCCGCCAGACACTGCACAAAGTTGGATTCGATGGGGAATTGGTTGGTGAGCAGCGACAAGTAGTGGTTCAGCTTGTCGTAGCTGGTGATGATGGTGCCTACGCCGCTCTTGTCGAACTGGGGGCGACCGGCGCGTCCGAAGATCTGGAGCACATCCAGAATGCCCAGGTCCACGAAGCTGCCGTGCTTGGCATCGTAGATATCCGTTCCCCGGATTATGACAGCGTGGGCCGGCAGATTGACACCCCAGGCCAGGGTGGCCGTGCACACCAGCACCGAGATGTGACCCTCAACGAAATACTTCTCTACCATTTGTCGGTCCGCCCGCAGCATGCCCGCATGGTGCATGGCCAGGCCGCAGGAGAAGAGGTCCACCAGCTGCTTGTTTCGGCTCTTCTGCACCGAACGATTGGCCAAGCCAAAGGCATTCGAGTCCTTGGGCAGGAACACGGCACTGGTGCCGTTCTGCTGGGCCAGTTCACGGATCACGTTGGCCGTTCTCACGGTGGCATTGCGGGCATGGACAAAGACCATCACCTGGTGACCCTGCTGCACCATCTCCAAGCACTTCTGGTAGCAGCACTGGTCCATGTCGGCGATCTGCTGCAGCGGCTTCACGGACTTTATGCCCACGAAGTTGGTGTCCAGCGGAACGGGCCGAAATCGGGAGTCGAAGTAAAACAGACCCTTCATGGGATTCACCCGCAGGAAGTGGGCCACATCGATGTAGTTGGGCAGAGTGGCAGACAAGCCCACAATGCGAATCATCGACTGCGAGGACTCCACAAGGCGGAGGGTGCGCGCCACCAGTGCCTCCACCACGGGACCTCGTTCGCCGTGCAGCAGATGCACTTCGTCAATGATGAGTAGCTTCACCAGACTAATCAGGGCTACGTCGCCGCTGCCTGCAAAGGAACTGGATGAGCAATAACTTGCGACTTTCTGGTTAGCTTACCCTTTCTCGTGACCACATCCCACTTCTCCGGCGTGGTGACCAGTATCTGGGTGGCCGCCATTTCCGCCTTGGTCAGCTGCATGTCGCCCGTGAGTTCCCTGACCGCGATCTGCAAAGATTTCAGACGCTTGGAGAAGTTCTCCACCATCTCGGCGGCCAGGGCCTTCATGGGGGCAATGTAGACGATCTTGAACTCGTCCCGATTGATGATTCCCTGCTCCAGGTGACAGCGGATCGTGTGCACAATGGTCAGCATGGCCACGTTCGTCTTGCCGGCACCCGTTGGCGCGCAGACCAGCATGTTTTCGTTGCTGTGGTACGCCACCGGATAGACCACGGATTGGATGCGGTTCAGCTCCTTGCAGTTGGCGAAGGCCAGCCTGCCAACGTCGTCCAGCTCTTCGATTTGGATGCGCTTGTTGCCCACCGTGAGGGGTGGCGGCTCACTGGCCGGGATCTTCACCTCCTCCCACTGCTTGTTGTCCACGCGCTGGGCATTGTCCGGCAGGGTTATCCGGCTGCCTCCAATGAAGCCGGCGTGCTGCTTCGCCGTCAGCTGGCTGTCGAACACGTAGGGATAGTGAATGGGCTGGTTGTATGCCGCCTGCTTGGCGTCCGCCTTGGCTGCCTTGGTGCTGAGCAGCAGTGGCTCCCGCTGGGCGGCCTCCAGAAGTCTTCGTTGGTGCTGCATGCGCAGCTGCTGCACAGATACGGCCACCGCACATCCCGGATCGTCCTGATCCTCCTCGTCCTTGATGCTGCGCATGATGCGGTGCAGCTTTTTCTCCTCCCGCCGCTGCATCTTGCCCAACTGCTTCTCCTGGGCCGACTGCACCACCACGGCGCTGGCCACCGTGGGCCGTCGCTCCGCAGCTGCACCACCGGCCGCCGCCTTGCTGCGCTTCTGCTTCACTTCCTTGACACGACGGGATCGGGTGGCGAACTGGTCCAGCTGCCGGGCAATCTTGTCCCGCTCCTGGAGCAGCTGTCCCACCAGCTCGAAGTGATCGAATCCGAGCAGCTCCATCAGCTCGTTCTGCAACTCCTCGCTGCTGCGCTTGGAGCCGAGCATGTCTCCCACGCGATTCAGCAGGTGTTCGTCGTCCAGCTTCTCGGCGATTCCGAGAAGACTCTGGAGCTCCGTGCTCAGCTTGCTGGTCTCGGCGTCCAGGCGCTTTGTGGCCGCCGCCTCACACTTGGCCTTGTACCGCATGGAGAACTTCTTGACCGTGCGATTCTTGAGCAGGGAGTCCGGAGCCATGTCCGTCAGCAGGCTGATGTCCATCCACTCTGCCGGCCGGCACTTGACGTGGACGTGGGCCCCCCACAGGGGACCGACGCCGGGCGCCTTGCGTTGTGCCTGCTGCCAGCGCTTTAGCTGCGCCCTCTCGTTCTCCTCCAGGGCATCGCCGATGGCCAGAACGCAGTCGTGGATCTGGGTCTGCTTGCGGTCAAAGGTGTTGCCGAACATGCCGTGCAGCCGGTTGCTGGTGGCCACCAGGAGCACCCGCTGCTCGAGCAGCAGCCAGAACAGGTAGAGGGCGGCGTGCTCCACCACCTGTGGCTGCTCCTCGTAGCCCATGCATTCCTGCACGAGGTTTCGCAGCTTCTGCAGCTGGACCTTGGCGGCCGGCTGCTTCCCCGCCGGCATCTGGGCCAGCAGCTTGGCTATGGTCTGCTCCTCCTTGCTGCAAGGGGATTTGTATTTGATTTTAAGTGGAATTTCAGTTATGGTGAAATCACAACTTACTCATGGGAGTTTGTTGTCGTGGACGCCGCGGCGGTGGTTTTGGCTTGCCGGAGGACGCTGAAACGGCGGCTTCGCGCCTCCAGCTCCGTCTTGGCGCGCAGGGAGGCACTTAGTCGTGGAGGCTCCCACATTATCATTTAATATTAATATTATTATTATTATCACTAATTTCGGCCGATTGCAGTATGGCCAGATAAAAATATGGCACTATCCTTAAAAAAGTTTAAACATTTTCGCGTTCGCGGATTCTGGGCACACTAAAACTCATGATTCTGGCAACATTGCCGGCCAGTGCTGCCAGGCCTCACAAAGCGATACGTTTGCGGTATGGCCAGACCATCAGAAATACGTTCTCCAATATCGTAAGAATTTGAAAAGTTCGTTATAAATATTATTTCTACTTTATAGCAGGATTAATAGAGTAAACTGATGTTTTAAATACGAACGTTCTATAATAAACTTCTTTCTCTGTAGAATGTGTCTGATTATACCGTTAATGTAATGTAATGTGTAAAATATGCCAGTTCTCCCTTAGGTAAATATAGTAATTATTTGAAATACAGCTTGAGTGACTTCTTCCATGAACCTCTCCTAATTTATTTAACCCTTTTATATGCAAAACTTGTCAGTATCTCGATTAAGAACTTTTACGGCCTGCGTCCAGCTGCTGTGATTCGCCCCCCGCCCCATGTCGCAACCCCAAAATAACCCCATAAACTTGTTGCGCAAGCTGCAATTGTCTGCGTTACTTATTATGCAGCACATGTCGAGTGGTCCTCTGGTTATCCATCCGCCGCATGCTTCATTGAGCACTTTGAATGGACCTAAGTCCGGAGTGTGAGAGTCCAGCCTGTTGCTCCTGTCCAAGGAGCGTATATAAGCCCGTCGACCGTCTTGTCGGTCCTTTCAGATGCGGATTCTGTAGGATACTGGACGGGCCACGACGAGTCAAGGATCTTATGAGTTGCACAAACACTTGAGCAGCACGCCGACCAATGACCAAGAACACGATGCATTGGCTGGCTCACCTCCAGATCATCATGCTATGTGAGTGGCTTCTGGAAGCTTATTTGAGGAGTGGCAACAGTAGTTAGTTAATCTCTTTCCCCTATTCCTCCTACAGGCATGTGGTTGGTGTGCCTTTCCAGCTCCAACGCCATCAAGTGCGACACCTGTGGCAAGGAGTGTGCCAGCGCCTGCGGCACCAAGCACTTTCGGTGAGTGTTCAGGCTTAGTGAAGAGTCCTTAAAATCACCCGACCCTGATTATTTCCACTTCACCCAGGACCTGCTGCTTCAACTACCTTCGCAAACGCAGTGATCCGGATGCACTGCGTCAGAGCTCGGACCGCAGGCTCATCGACTTTATTCTGCTGCAAGGACGCGCACTCTTCACCCAGGAGTTGCGCGAAAGACGCAACAATGACACCCTGATAGACCTCGGTTTGCAGACCTACTACGGCTGAGAACTCCTACGATCCCTCGAAACTGATACCGAAAAGGACACTGACCTCGCACTACTACTCCTCTGATCCCCTGGCTTTGGCAAAAGCTTGAAATGTTTGAAATGTTAGTTGGTTTTTTTTAATAAAGGCGCAAACTTTGTCGAGAACTATATAAAGACTCCACTCAAAGAATAACACACTTCATTTTGATTTTGTATCAATTGCAGTTGTATTTTCACAGTATTTTTTTTACATTTTTTAATTGCCATCTTTTTTTGGGTTTTCGTTGAGGTGTCCTTGCAAAATAGTTGAGTCTGTGTAGATCTAGAGCCGTCAGTTCCTCACGTCTGCAGTCGTCGTCTCTGATCCGCTTAGGCCTGCGACTCGCTGATCTCCGCCGTAGCCTGAGTTCTCGAGTCCGAGGCGAAGTCGTCCTTGCCACATGCCAGGCAGGGCATCTTCTCCCTGAGCACCTGCTTGTACTTGGGATGGCTGTGGAAAAAAGGATTTTATATGGTATGAATTCATAATGGCCACCAATATTTCCGCATGAGAACAGATAATTCGTCATTTTCTCACAAAATCTGTAATTTGAGAGCGTTAAAGTAATCTGGGGCGAATTCTCCCAAATTCCTTATGTCTGTCATCATGCATTTCGTGACAATAAGCCAATTTAAAACACAGATTTTGTGTATTAGTAATAAAAAATGAGGGCTTCTGGAGTGTCACATAAGTTCCCCACGAGCGGCTGCAGAGTCAAATGAATTTCCAGAGATATGAATATCTTGAAAGCCCAAAAGAGGAGTCACCGAGTTTCTAGAGAGTTCCGCGAAGTTGGAACAGACTTTCTCATAGGTTTCTTGAGGAGATCAAGTAATGGTAAAGGTATAGATAATTCTGGTAAAACACCTACCTCAAGCCGTACACAATGGGGTTGCACACCGCATTGGCCTTGGCGAACACGGAGCCGCAGATGGTGCTGAGCGGACTCAGGTGCATGGACTCGAAGATTCCCGCATAGTTGATGATGGTGTACGGGGTCCAGGCGAAGAACCAGAGCGATATGGTGGTTAGGGCCACCTTGGCCAGCTTGATCTCAATGGCCTTGCTCTTGTCAGCCTCGCTGTTGCGCAGCGAAGCCACGTTCATCTTCTTGGCCTGCTCCCGCATGGCCTTCTCGTGGGCAGCCACCGCCTGAAAGATAGAAGGAATGATCCTTGTAAGTCTTGCTCTAATAGAGTCCAATATGCTCACCTTCATGATGTGCCAGTAGGAAAAGATGATGGTCAGCAGCGGCGTAAGGTAGACCCACAGCGAGTAGACAATGATGTAGGACCGGTTCCACCAGTCCTTGGCGAAGTAATCGGTGCCGCAGGCGGTCATGTTGCCCTCGGGCACATAGCGATTCCAGCCGAAGAGCGGCATAAGGGCCCAGGCGCCGCAGATGATCCAGACGACCAGGAGTCGCAGGACTGCCGCAGTGGCTGTCAGTGGCTTCCTGGCCATTCCCTTGACGATCACGCAGTAGCGATCGTAGGCGATCAGGGTCATAGACCAGATCGAGACGCAGCCAAAGAGCGAGCCGAACATGCCATAAAGTTCGCACAGGAAGGGACCCATGATCCAGGTGCCATAGAAGCCGTTCAGAACCACGGGCGGGAACATAGTGAACATCATCATGAAGTCGGAGAAGGCCAGGTTCACCACGAACATGTTGGAGGGAGTGCGCAGTCCCTTCGACGAGGTGAAGATGTACATCACGATGAAGTTACCCGTAAGCGACATGGTGCCGAGAATGGCGATAACAAAGCCAATGATGCCGAACCACATGGGCTCCAGCGGAGGCCACTGGTACCAGTAGGGATCCACCATGTGCATGATTTCGGCGGGCACACTCTCCGCCAGACTGAGATTGCTCCCATCGCGCATATAGGCGTAACTGGGGGGATTCAGGCTGATCATGGCTGCTGCTGTGGTGCTTCGGTGGTGGCTTCGTCTGATCTCGGATGGCTACTCTGCTGGGGCCACTACTCGCTGTCCATAGCAGGACGGCTGACACTGACTCTCGTGGCGCGGACTCGGCGCTAATGCCTGCGGCGGAACCCTGGCCAGGTCTTTATACCTATGGCCACTTGTGTCCAGCCCGTCTTAGACTAATTGCCCTAATCCAATTAGCGGCCACTTGGCCAATCCCAAGTAAGTTACTGACTAGAATTGGGTTTTCGATTGCCGCAAATTTGCTGCGTCGGATTACAAGCAGTGCGCGTCATTTCCGAGCCGTCTAAGCCGCCGAAGGGCCACCATGGACAAGGTCAAGTTTGAGGCAGCCACTCAACACAGGCCCATCTGTTCCTCCTCCTCCTACTACTCCGTCTTGCGCCAGCCAATTAGATTAAGACAAACGCTTTTCAAATTCACGTTTTATTGACACACACATAAGGCCCCTTCAGGCATGCCAATGGTAGCCCAGCTTGCGGGCTCCTCTCATCACCGAGGATAGCTGGAAGTCCAGGCTGCCGTAGGACTCCATGGCCAGGCCCTTGCACTTGAGGTTGTCCAGCAGCACCTTCGGATCCTTCAGCTCCGGTTCACGGCGCAGCAGCCAGCTGGTCACATCTGCAATCATATTGGGGCACTTGGGCATGAGTATGGGGGTCTGCAGCTGCTCCATTTGCTCAGCCGGTCGACGGCTACCAAACACCGGAAGGTGGATGTGGGCGTAGCCCAGCAATCTTTCGCGCCCCAGGCCACTGCGCCCGAAGACGCTGACGAGGATTTGGGGCCCTGAAAGAATAGTAGTTAGGTTATGCCTAGTTAATTCCACCTTTTGTTACCCACAGCCATAGGGACTGGTGCTCCTGTAGGTCACCTCGATGGGCATGTTGAAGACAATCGGCTCGTTGAAGTGGCCGCTCTTATTGGTGGCCAGTTGGGTGAGTCCGTGCTGGGGCCCGGAGGCCAGCTGCCAGTCGGGACCCGCTATCAATTCGTAGCGCAGGAAGACGAACTCCTTGTCGGGACCCAGTGGAAATGTGGCGGACACTATCTGTCCCGTGATACTCAAACTAAAGTAACTGGCAGTGGCTTTTGCCTCCATGGGCTTTGAATTGCTCTCTTTGGCACTCTGGGATTTCTTCTTTTTGGAGTTCTTTTTTGGCTTTTGTTTACGTTTTTCATGCGGCGGACTGGTGTCCATGTTGCCAGGGAGACTGATGCCCTCGCTCCACACGCTCATGGTGGTGGTTTTTTACTCTAAATGGGATGGGGGTGTCTTTCCACTATAAGGTAGAATATTTTCCACCTGTCACTGGTTGAGTGTTGGAAAAGCTTTTGGCATGTCAATAACTCACTAGGAAATCGAAATTTAAAGAAGAATAATCGAAATTATAAGGTATTTCTGTTTTGCCATATTTTTAGCTTGTAAGGGCTTTATCCACACGCTAATAATTTCCATATTAAATAACACCGCACCAAAAGCAGTCATCGAACCACAAATTTATTGACTATTTGGCAGTTTTAAGTTGAAATTTCAAAGCAAATTGTTGGGCTAAATTATGTGAGGGCACTTTTTATAGTTATCTTTTTAAAAGAATTTTCCTTATTAATTTGCTTCTGGTATGTTTATGCTGATTGTTATGAGAAAGCTCAAGAGTACGTGGGAATACTTGAGGAAACTCGACGTTTATTGATTCTAAAGCTGGCTAGTATATGGCCTGTCCATATTTAATAACAGTTAAGATAAAGCCGTGCGAATAATTTCCATTTCTTGCTGATTTAATGAGTGAGCAGGAAATTACCAGTTAATAAATCACATTAATGATGCCTTTCGGTAAGTTGTTTAAGTATGTACTTGCAAGAATCAATTGCTTTATCTTGGGTATTTCTTGTTTGTAAAGTTAATTTACTTATTTTATTCACACATTTTGTCCAGCTTGGGCTTTCTGGTAATGTCGACGCCAATGTAATTCAATATCTTTAAAGTTACATGGACATTGCTCTGGTTCTGCTTTGCATATCGCTCTTGCACGGCTAATACGTGACAATTTACAAGATAATAATTCATGTTCTAGGCGTGTGCTGATTGTTCAAAAGGTCAATTAGGACTGACAGAGCAACGGAGCCAGGGAGCGGGTGTTCCAGCCTCCCGCCAGTCGTGTAATTAATTCTGTAATGGCCATTTAGCAATTTATAGCTGCCAACGCGGAATGCCTGTATAAATCATCGAGACAATTGCTGGCGCTACCGAAACGGGAAGTCGCGCCTCCGACCACCGATCGCCGATCTCCGGTACCGCTCCCTGCCTGAATGATGCATTATGCAACTGGCCAACTGGCCAAGTCTGGCCCAAGTCAGCATTTCCATGCTGCCGGCGTAATTAAAATGCACCGCAAATAATAATGCCAAGAGTTCAAGGCCTTCTCCTGGGTCGGCTCAAGAGTGCCAACCACGCAGGTGATCTTCACACCGCTTAAGAGCTTTGGCTTGTCATGGCAGCTGCAGTGCAGGCGGCTTAGAATGGCTCCAAGTGCCGAGGAGTGGAGCAGCAGCTGGTCCCAGCCAAATGTGTTGTGCTGCAATCGACGCCTCATCGAGAGATTACACTGGAAGAAGTGTAAAGGGAGTTCAGATATAATTTCAAAAGAAAAAGATTTTATTAAATGTTATTTTGGAGACAATTTTAGAAGATTAAAAATAATATTATATTTCTTCCTTTGCATTTTCACTTGAAACTAAAGCTTAGGCTTAGGCATACAGCAAAAACGCAGCGATCAGGCCATCAGAAATCCGAAATGCGACATCAGGCCATAACATATGCCGCAAGTCGTAAGCCATAAGCCGCTCAAGTCGGAGGTGCAATCGGAGAGAGTGCTGACGCCGCACAGAATCAGCATTATTTCGGCTCGGGTTGAGCATTATGGCATTATGCTAACTGGTCTCTGCGATTTCGACAAATTTTCGTTCGCTTCTAATACTGGATAATACCAGCAATACCCACCATACCCACACACAGGGCTTGGCGCTTTTAACGGCTGCATTCAATTACGTTTTCGGAATCAATGAACGGAGGAATTATTCAGAAAGAAATATACATTTCATTCTTTCATTTTTCATTGCTGCGCCCGGTTTCGGGTTGGCTTCTTATATAAAACCAATTCATATCCATTGAATGGCCTCCGGTAAGTGCGATTTTTCAATTGAAGAGTCGAGTCTTTGGCCAGTGGCATTACTGAAATTACAGAAAGCCGAGAGCCGTGTGTTGAACCGCATTGCGCAATGATACTTTCTGAGGGGGATTTAGGCCCGGAAAGGAACCATCTGCAGATGTCTAATATCTTTCTCCGGCTAGCCGCCAGTTCAAAGATCATCGAGATCATGGAGAAATGGATTTATGCATGCGTATGTACAGTAGTCGATCTTTATGATCTTGCCTTTCAGCGGGCACTCATCTTTTATGGCGGTAGAGCGGCGGTGCCGCCCATTGTACTTCTGCTACTTCTAAAATGTTTTTAATTTCATCTCGATTCAAGCATATTCCACATGATACCCATAAATATTCGCAAGCCTAGTGGATACGATTTGCGATTTGCATGCGCCATTCGGTCTCCATCTCAAGGAATAGAAAGACACTGAGCCCAATGAGTGCCACTTAGTTCCAGAATTTCAGCCCAAATTGGGTTAATAATTCTGTGAAACTGTAGAACAGAACCGTTGCCCAACACATGTTAAATTCTGAGCGAGATTAAATCCAAATTGGTCAAGGCGAAAGTTTAATTTCTTGGTCGGCATGAAGTAACATATTAGAATGTAAACAGTCCGAAAACATGAATTGTGTCTTCTTTTAGACGCTCTTTTTCCGCTGTGCATCTATATATAAACCACTATTAGTTTATATTTTGCGCGTTGCGTGGGCGTGGGCTAGTCTCAGGGTCAACGCACGTCGGCCAGCTCCCAGAGATCCCCAATCTCCACAGCCATCCCCGATTCCCATCTAGATCAGCATCACCATCACCATCGCCATCGCCATCTGTGTGCGCTGTCATAGAGGCTGCTGCTGGCTGCTGGCTGTATGCCGTAGTTGAATGGATGATATATGCCATACAGTTAAGTGAAATGTATCTTCGAGATACGCCAACTATGGGAGTAGAGCGAACGCCTCTTACGCATGTCTCTCGATCTCGATTCCGATTCCTATTCCTATTCCGATTCCTGCCGCTGATTGACAGCGCAAGTAATTGAGTTTGATTTTTGCGAATTTCCAGAATTCAGACATCACCATTCGATCCCGTCCCGCCTCGCCGCACTCCTCTTCGCTCGTGATGGGCCACGGAATTGGGGGGCTCTTTAAAAAAGGTTTGTGTTTAGTTAGCCCACATATTTGATTCGATTTGATTGAGCAGCTGTCAGGGGAACTTAAAAACCTGAGCTCTCAATAATTCCAGCTGTGGATCCGAATGGCCGAATGCCTGTCGCGGCCTTTCGCAAGCCTTCCATCATTCAATCAGGATCAATATTTATCAATCGAGTGTGTGGGTGACTGATTGGAACTATGCGAGCACCAAAGCCGCTGAGCCATTCACGCACCCAGAGCACACTCACCCCCACACTTGTATGTACTATATAGTATACACTATATAGTGTATGCGGACGGACGCAATTGACGAAGAGGCCTGCGCGTGTTGGACGCACGGACGGATAAACAGACTGTGGGTCTGACAGCGTTCGCTTTTGAAGATACACGAGAATCGATATGAGATCGATTCGCAGCCTAGGGCCCTTCACAGCCTCAACTGGCGATCGAAATTGCACATGCACATCTGAAAGCCATATTTATCCGTCTCCGACTCCAAGTCCAAATCTCTGGGTATCAAAAGGTGCTATTTTGACATTTACTGCTAAAAATTTACTACAACCCCGCGGCAGCGCGTGCTGCCAGCCGACGGCTGCCTAATGATCTAAATGCGTTAATTATTAAGATGATACAATGCGATGTGGATCTGGATCTGGAATAGATACCACACAGATACCATACAGATGGATAGACAGATAGATACATTGTGGTCAGCTTCAGTGGCTTCCGCCTCGCCTCGAGTGCGTTTGATCATTAGCATCTGAAAGGCAGCGGCGACTCTTTGAGCAATATCTCCTAATTCAGTCAATATGCCTCTCTTATGGATTAAAAAAGGATTTGCTAGACTTCATAATTAATTGGTAATTTACATTCGGACTTTCATAGCGCATCAATTATTTCGGAGGATGTGTTAGAGCATGGATGGGTCGGCCTCAGGAAAACCATGTTGGAATAGCCTGCTTGCCTCCACATTTTTATGGGTGTTTCGTAAGATTTTGTTATTTTGGCTGCTGTTTTATGCCACGAGTAGGCAGTTTGTTGTTGATTACAAAACAAGCGTTGCAGATAGCATAGTTGGTGCTTCAATGCAACGCCCCGTTGGGCCAGCGAGAGGAGCTCTTCCCGGAATCTCCGCCAGCTCTGCTGCTTTTCATTAGCTGGAGGAGGAGGAGGAGGAAGAAGCCTAGGGAACACCAACACTCGGTGCCGTCAAGCACATACATCATATTTTTGAGAATGCTTTTGAGTTTTTGTTTTATTGCTGCCGCCGACTGGCTGGAGGCTAGCGAAATGGATTTTTAATTTCCAACTATATTTTAATTTGGCAAACGCGCTCTCGTCTTTTAATTGATTAATTCTTATTGCTGCGTTTGATTAAGGAAAATATTTAGTATACAACAGGGTCAATTGCTACATATGGTAATTTGCCATAGAAGACATTTATGTGGAAGAGTTCTCGGCGCTCAAATAACGGAGCGAGCGCGGTTCGCAATTATTTTCGTCCACTGACGCGATCCGTAGATTGATCTTGACCCACATCGGCAGGAATCCAGCAGATGTCACATTTGTTGCTAGTATTTAAAGTTGGATAGATCAAACTCTGCAAGACTCTTGCACATCAATTTCTGTTTATACTTAGTCACTTTTAAGAAGCTAACCCGCCTTATCAGCTAGTACGTCACAGCTCGTGGAGAGAGTCATCTACCGTTCTTGGATCATAAATGATGTAACCATTTTCCACCGAATTGTGCTTAATAAGATAAACCCAGTGAAAGAAAGTCAATGTTGTGCTTTTATACCCTTGCAGGGTATTTCCTTTTAGTCAGAAAGTCTTTTCCGACCCTATAGACCATATATATTCCTTATCAGCATCAACATTACTACTGATTTGTTAACCTAATAAGAACTACAGCAGAAAAACTTTTCGAATTGAAATTAATGCAAACTTCAAGGATTTAATTTCTTGTTTTAAAGAATATTTTAAATAAATTCAAAAGAAAATCGTAAGCACAATATATATTCATACAAAAAATACACTTCAATTGTATATAAGATTCATTATTACTACTTGGGAGTCTGCAATCTGCTCCACTCGACCAAAAGCGAAAGTTGTTGCTATGTTAGGCTTCTCATATCTTAAGAAAAGATAAGTAGTCTAATGGTTTTTTATCTCTAAAGGTTGTATAACTAAGCAAAACACTTAATCCAAACTATACATGTGCGAAAACAGGGACCGAAAGACTTAGAATGACTTTTATAAAGTTATATTTAACTTAAGTTTTGATGTGGGGTGAATCTGGAGACATGCTTTAAAAATATTTATATAATTAAGTAAAAAAAATAACTTAGGGAAGCAAAAGTTTATATACCCTAACAGTACCCAAGTGTTTTTCGTTGAAAAAATAAAATATTTCATATTTACATATAAAACACACAAGTTTAGCCGATTTTTCCTGATCATAATACTATTTTCCCATATTCTCTTTATTTAAATTTAAATAGAATTAAAAATTGATTCCTGAAATTGTAGTAATTAAAATATTTTCATGTTTTTGCTTACGCTTTATGATTTAAAAAAAAAAAAACCAATTAAATAGATTTCCTATTAATTTTCAGATCGTTTCTATTTAATCAACTCAACTGATGATGCGGATAAATAGTATAAGTTCACTAATTATTTTACAAATAATGGAACTATACAGATTTTTTGTAAAGTTGTTGTTTAGACGTCTTTAGGTCAAGTCTGGGTATTTCTTATTAATTTTCAGATCGTTTATATTTCTAAATTGACTAAACTAATGATGCTGATCAATAATATACATACGTATGCAAGTTCACCAGGCTTAAAACATGCGACTAAAGTTATAATACCCCCTGTAAGGGTATAAGTTTTTTAGATTCTTATAGAAGCTTATTTGTACAATCTCATGGATTTTAAAGAAGCGGTAAGTGGTAACTGAAAAGCGAAAGAGCGAAAGTGTGAAATAACTTTTATCTTCAAGTTCTTTTAAGATTTCACATAACTTTTACTTGGCAGCTTTATAAACACGAATCTCGAATAACAAAAGATGGGCTCAGGCGTGTGGAAGCTAAGAGAGCACTCCGATCTTTTAAGCACCGCTTTGGGGCTTTGGGGCTTTGCCTCTTTCTCGCCGATCGCTCTCTGCACCGCTCTTTGCTCTCTCGGATCGGATCGGCTTGGAGTGGATGGAGCTACTTGGTGGA